ACACAATTCGAGCCTAGCAGGGACAAACTTCACTTGTTTTCAAAGAGACTGAGTGCGGATGACTTTCAGCTGTGTCATTCATAGCCGAAACGGGAACCTGCCCTCGATTCCCCTGCGAATACGCTGGAGCATAAGTTAGCGGGACTGTAAAATGTGAGACGATGCATGTGGTTTCGGGTGAACGCACTTGCTGAGCTAACATGCAATGCTATTAATCGGCCTGGTGTTTCCGCCAGCCTCCCTGTGGTGGTGGGCGTGGTGAAGAGGCAGCACCAGCCAATCAGCAGCAAGGGCTCCGGGCACCGGGCCCCGTGCCGTCCAGTGAGCCACCTCACCCGGGCTACTTTGGTATATAAGAGCATCCGCTAAGCTAATTAAAGGAATGAGAGCCCTGGACAGGTGGGACGGCCCCTCACTGGCCCGCCATGGGTCAGAACGCGTCACACGGTTGTTTAAAGGGAGCCTGGGGGGGGGGGGCGACTGACAGCCGTGTGACGGAAAGGGGCCCGTAGCTATCGGGGGTGTAGGACAGGCGGGCACGCTGTCAGAGGACGCAGCTGTTCGCCTGAGCCCCCGCACCTAATCGCACGCGATTGACTTGTGCTCACCCAGACATGCTGAGGACGGGAAGTTTGCGCGAGTCGTTATTGACTTGTCATTTTGAACATCTTGGCTGCCTTCCAAGCCGTTCGCACGTCGCCCTGCAGACGGAGAGACAGCTGTGCGGTGACCGACGTGAAGGATCCAGGGGACGTAACGCACCCCCCCCCTCCCCACCCGAGCCTCGTGAAGTGAATAACGATGCAGATTTTCATTGTGGCTTCATTTTATGCCTGGAGTACGAGGAACCTTTATGTGCATCAAAAATTAATAAAAGCGTGAAATATTTAAACGGTGGTAATAAAACAGCTTTGCGAAACTCTTTACAGTAATTTAAGTCATTGTAACAATTGTTCATTTTGCATGGAAGGAAATGCAAAAAAAAAGAAAGATATGGAGATTTTCTTCATATTGAGCATGATGTTCCCGGTGAAGCATGGCCCAGACGAGGTCACCGCATGGCCCAAATGGACCAGTTTACACCGTGTGGTATCTGCAGGTCTTACAAAGCGTGCTGTGCTGAGTTGAGCTTTCTGCTGTTAGAAGAAGGACAGGAACCATTCATTCTTTGAGTGATGACTCCATAGGAGGAGGAAAGCCCACCGAGCCACTTGTGTGTTCCTGAAAGACATCTTTGACATTGCAATCCATCAAAACAAAAGCTGGTCAGAGCCAGGTCCCCCCACACAAATAAAAATGGTCAGTTCCGCAATGGTGTAGACAGCACAGCAATGCACGGGACATACCAAAGCTCGACAGGGGAGACCAGTAATCACAATATGCATATGGACAGCAGACCTCACAGCTCCGTGTTCGACTTTCCCAAAAATACAAAAAATATTAAATAGAATAAAAAATGGCTTTTCTCTGAGGTACAATAAACTGCCTAAAACAAACCATGGAAAACAAGAACTTCTTAAGTGCTCTAAAATAACTTCTGGAATGTTCCTTCTGGGACCGTGAAAGTGTGGATGTGTCCTATTTGTCTCTCTCTTTCTCCCTCCCTCTCTCTCTCTCAGGATGTTTACTGGGTTTGTCACGCTGACGTCTTTTTCCCCCCCATCAAGGCCCAGGTCTCCGTGACTACAGTGACCTTCACGCAGCGGGACTAAACACTCCGCTTTCCATAACGACTTTCTAATTGGAGCCACAGGACGCGAGAAGCTGCTCGCAAGGTGGTTGTTATGATCAGGTAGTGGCAAACCTGCTGAGGGTTACAAGCGAGGCGGCCGGGGTGGTGGGGTTGGGGGGGGGTCTTTGGAATGAGTTATTCGCTTAACATGAGGGCAGACCAGCCCAAGAAAAAAGGGAGTGTGACACACTGGCTGGGGTAACGGCACTATGGCAGTCGGCCAGCTTCAGAATATCCATGGACATTAATCATAGCTGCTGCTGCCTGTCTTTCATCTTTGCCCAGTTCCAGTTCCTCCCATCGGAGGACTGTCGCCCCAGACCTACTGTTCCCCTCATGTCATTCTCCTCCGGATGTTCGGTTTTCCTGACTGAAGAGATGGAAAAGGGCAGAGTGGGAGTCCAGCACATAACCGGGAAGTTCGAATATCTGCAGGACAAACTGATTCGTTCAGTACTTACAGGTTGGCAAGAGAAGGGGAAGTTGCTTCATTCCTCCAATCATCCCGTTAGGTGTGGCCATGTGATTCGCCACAAGAAACCTGATTGGCTAGAATGTGAACTGTTGGGGTTCACACCAGCTGCTCTCTGCACCCCACATGGTGCAAGTGTTGCAGATGCATGATAGTTATATTCAAAATGAAAATTAGTAAATCCAATCATTCATAAATATTAAAGATGATTTTTTAAAAATCTCCAACGAAATGTGCATTTCCAAGAAGCACCTTGATGAGTACCCTGGAGCCCAGATGCAGCCCTTAGCCCGGCCTGACTGGGTGGCCCTTGTATAACAGATTCTGGGATCAACCACCCTGAACTCACTTCAGCCGCTCTAGGGACTGGGAGCCACGCTGCTTAAAATTCCAGTCTTGAGGACCAGACAGATTTTCCAACTCTCAATCCCTTGGAAAAGAACAGGGCGAGTTCGGTAAGGGTGATGAGTTGGATCAGGCTGGAGTACAGGGCTGTGAGGCGATCCTGTCCGTTATCTTCCAGAGACGGTGGTTTTGGGATATGCAGAGGTGCTTTTACCCCTCAGTTACGCTCGCGTTTAAGGGCACCACAGCAAGCCCTCCCAGACACCTAAACCATGAACACTGTTGGTCACAAGCCCAGTTCCTTAAGTAGTTTGCCACCTGCTGGTCCAGCTGTAAAATCTCCCAGGAGTGAAGTAAAAGCTGCACATCAGAGCGCGGTAAATAGTAGTGGGAGGGGTTATGACTCCCACCAAGGCCTTATTACACTGCTGGTAATCTGGGGGGGTGGGGGTAGGGGTGGTTCTCTGCCTTTCCCCCTGCTGCCTCCTGATTCCCAGCATCCTCTCTGGGTACAGACCCGTTCCAGGTTTCCATCAGCCGTGTCTGTGCCCCGAGACTCTCACCGGTGCCAGGCCTGTCAGGAAATTAACTCATCAGACGATGGCGGCAGCTGCTAATTTTTTCCCCTCACATGTCAGCCGGGTTGCCTGCTGTGGCTAATAACGCAGCCCCCCCCCCCCATCTCTGATTAGGAAGTGATTCAGAAACAACATGGGCGGACACACGCGCCGCATGCTCACTCACGCACACACAGCTACATGGAAAGGCATGCAGGCAAGCAGCTACACACGCACACACACGCCTAGAACCTCTCACTCACACCTTAACTCACAAACACACATACCTAGAACCTCTCTCACACACACCTAGAACCTCACACATGCCTAGAATGTTTCTCTCTTCCACTCACACACACACACGTACAGAAACACGCACACACCGGTCACAGATACATGGACGGAGACACACACCTATACCGAAACACAGACACGCTCACACACACACACCAAGGTCCACACAAAGACACGCCACCCCCCCCACCCTCCCACGCACACACACACATACATACTGTGTTCCATGGTACTCTGTGTTATTATTTTCCATCCATCCATCCATGCATCCATCCATCCATCTCTTAACCACTTATCATGGTCAGGGATGGGGGGGGGGGTGCTGGAGTCTGTCCCAGTCAGCGAGGGCACATGGCAGGGGTACACCCTATTATTTTGATCACAGTAAATGACAGTTTCAGGGAGGGTGTGAGTGAGTGTGGAGGGGTGGAGGGAGGACAGCGGGCAGGAGATGAGGGGGTTTCTGGGGGGGGGGGGGGGAGGGTGATGCAGGGAATAGGTAGCGTTTCACAGCCAGATGAAACAGATTGGCTGTCAGGGACGGATGGGGATTTGGCGTCGAAAATTACAGGCTACCATTACGGCGTGAAAAAAAGGGGATTTCAGTAGAGGCCCTCTCCCTCCTCCGGCCTCCATTCATGTGAGGGACTGTAATCCAGCACACAGTGCCAGCATGCATTCGCTGGCTCCTGCTGCTGGGCCTGCAGCGCGCGGCGGTCATGTGACCGCGCGCCTTTGTGCCGCCAGCGCTCATTGTGCGACTGAAAGCCCCGGGGGGGGGGGGGGACAGAGGCTCCCAGTGCTGGACAATTCTTTTTTTCATGCAGGAATGCGGTTTGGGTCGGAGCTCAAGGTGTGCTTTTGGTGACAGATGGCCGCTTCCCGACTCCGTGCTGCTATTGGCCGATTCTGACCGCACGCACAATAAAGGATCACGCCAGTACAGTGTCTCCGACATGCACTCACGGCACAGTATGGTCAATGCAACACAGTGCATTTCTCACCTACTATTTCGAGCTGTATTTAAAAAATACAATCAAATGCAACCATAATCTGATATTTAACAATAAAACAAAAAAAGTGATCTCATCAGTCCACCCATGTTGATTAACTACAAGGTTCTTAACAAATTCATTTCCAACCGTAAAACATCTATTGAACTTTTATGGAGTTTTATCAGTTTTATAGAGTTTATTAGCCCTGCCTCACAGGTGGAATGCAGCTAAGGATTGTGGGTAAGTAGCTTTTAGGTTTGTTCCATTTTTAATTCCAAGTACTTACGTATAACCGTAACCCTCAACATGCATATTACACAGGCATGGCTGGATTATGGACCGAACCAGTGGGGGCCGGTGTCCGGGGGCCCCCAAAAGGATCATGATCCCTGGTGACAGGTACTCTGAATCTGACCCACACAGAACCACTACACTACAACCCAAGAGGAACCAAAAAGAATTAACACACTGGCAAATGGACCCAAGGAGAACCAGATGTTTGACTTGAGCCTGTTCCCCTCCCCGCTTCTGATACCCCAGCATCTGGACAGCAGAGAGCCTGCTGGAAACATGGGCACCAGGGCAAAAATGAACGGAGAAGAAGGTCATGGATCATCAGCGCTTTATTTCTGAATAGAGGGACGAGCTTTGCCCCTTAGCCATTAGCACCCCTTTCCTTGGTAACGGGGGGGGGGGGGGGGGTCAAGCAGTTTAACTCCTTCAATGCTATGTACAAACCTGGATGCATCTGCTCTGACACCCTAAACTACAGAAATTCCCGATGGACTTTTAAAAAACACACTGCTTTGCACCTCTTCTCAAAAAAAAACCCGACCACAGTCCAGAAGGACAAACACAAAGTGTTTTGCTTCCTTACTTGTGGTGTGGTGCAGAAGTGCATTGTGGGTGAAAGCGGACCATTAGTGGCCCTTTTTCCTGATAAATCCTAGGAAGGGGGGGAAAAAAAATACACCAAACGAATCAAAACCAAGCAACAAATAAACGAATATGCAAACATCTGACAGCTTTTTGAAGAGAGAGCCTATGTCATTTCCTGCAAAACACGCTGTGGAAAATGACTGTTCTTAGCCAACAGCTGTAATAAAAAACCAAAGCAAAAATGGTTGTACACAGCTGGACAGCTGACAGCACACGGAAGGTCCATGTGCAGATCACATATCTCGCTGCACTGCATCTGTAATCCTCTTCCAGCTTCTGAACGCTTTCTTTGTAATCATGCTCATTTCCTTGTGTAATTGTTGTAACTGTAGACTGCAGTACCACAGAAATTGACATCATCCTGAGTTATTATTGGTAGAAGTATTTGTTTTTAAAAAAAAAGAAACGATTCAACACACAGCACGGCAAAACGAGCAGACAGCAGGATTGAATGCCCCTCTATCCTTCCCCTCACTCCTCCATGATGGTGTCCTGCGAGGTGGAGTTGGAATATACCACCACGCTTTCGACAGGGGCGGCCTCAGCACCGGTACCGTAGACAGCACCCTCCACCTGCAGTGCACCGTCCTCTAGCTCGGTTACGATGAAGTGGGTGCCCTGGTCGTTGACGATGACCTGCGTCAGCCCCTCCTTCATCATCAGCTGGGTCGCGGCAAACTGCAGCACCTCCTGCACGACGTCCTGGGGGCCCGGCACCCCCACGGCGGACCCCACTACCTGGGTCACCACCTCCACGGGCTCACCGGTCTGCTCCTCCAGCACCTCGCCGTAAACCTCCACCGCGGTCTGCTGTTCCACCTCCTCAGAATGCTCCTCTCCGCCCGTTGCCGGCCTGCTCTCGTAATCTTTGTCGTCCTTAGGGCTGACCTCCGGTTGGGCTCCACCCCCTCGCTGCTCGGCCCCGCCCAGCTCAGTAACGGCACAGAGCAGCGCATCCAGAGTGCTGGGCGACGTGGAGGTGGCCGCCCCCTCCGCGAGCTCCGACTCCCCAGACTCCACCAGCACGTACTGGGTGGCAGCGGTGCCATGGTGGTGCCCGGACGCTGCGGCAGTGGTGCCCCCGGTGATGACCTGCCCGTCCTCGGTGATGTGCAGCACCTCGGCCAGCGTCTGCAAGGCAGCAGCGGCGGACTCCTCCAGGGAGCTGTCCACGGCCAGCTCGCCCCCGTAGCCCTGGATTATGATGACCTGCTGCACGGCACCCGCCTCCTCGCCCGCTCGGGCGACCCCCACGTGCCGGGTACCCTGGGAGGCCTCGTCTGCTGCAAACGCCGTCTCAGTCTCCACAAAGGTGGCGCCCTGACCCTTCAGGCGGCACTCAAAGGACTTGGACACGATTCCTGAAAGAGGCGCACAGACAAACCGACACATCAGCACCACAGACATGAGAACCAGGACAGTGGACAATGGCTGCCTCCCCGACATCCACGACATACATCAGAAGACAGACTTTGAAAGCAGGTCTCAGTTGTCAGCGGTTCTGTGTTGGAGACCCTTTCTTTGCTGATCAGAAAGACATCCCGGTAGATCCAGCATCCCACCACATAGACCCACTCACTGTCCTGATTTCCTACAGACAGGGGGGTCTGTCAGACAATCCCTCCCAGCCCGGGGCCAGACCCACCCCGGTGCTCCCAGAGCACAAACACAGGCACAGTCTCGCCAGTAACACCTTATTACCATAATCATTTTTCTTCTCTTTCTGACTCACTTGCTCTGACTTTATATCCCGCCCCCCCCCAGCCCCCATTTTATTCAGAAACTTAATAACTTCAAGTGCTGTCCCGGATGATGTTGAAATACTGCCCCAATAAAAGGTAACGGCTCCAATCGAACCGTAAAGATTCACTGCGCTGTCCGTGCCTTAATGAATATCACATAGAAATATGTGTCGTTCGGGACGGCTGTCGGGGGCGGACCAGGGGCCATGCAAGGTGGGCGGAGCTCGTCTGCCACATTAAAGCATTCTAACCCTATTAGGTGCCGGGACGAGGCGGGACTGGCACGGCCACACGTGGCGATAGTAAATCCTGCAAGATTTAAATGCCATTTAGGTTTTATTGTGTGAGGAAGCGCTCAGATTTACGGGCTCTGCACCGCGTCACGTTCCCTGCATCTCCATCCCTGCCTCGCTTCAGCTCATGCCCCCGTTCCGATTAACACCGGCTCTTGACGCCCTGAGAATAAATAGCAAATGAATGAAAAGAGGAGCGACGTTCAGATTAAAATGTTTGCAAACGATCAGATGCGGTAGGCGCGGCCGGTGGGCGTCGTGCCGCCATGAATAAAATTATTCTGTTTTTTTCCCCCGAAACCTATTCGGGTCCCTCTGTCACTTAGTTAGTAACAATATGTAAAACGTGTCCTACTTCCCCGTTCCGCAGATCCAAGGAGCATCTTGATTTAGGCTGCTGTCAAATTTCGGGATGTTAGTCTGCGCTTATTATGTGAGTGTGTGCAGTGAAGTGCATGGGACTCTTCAGCCTAAGATGTATTTTAAGGACTGGATTCTGCTGCTTTTCTGGTCCTCGCTGTCCTCCCACATCTCTTCTGTCCAGTTTTCACACTTCATCTATAAAACCTGCGGGTCACGGGAAATACAGGAAATGTGAGTTTTCCCCTCCCAATGAAGTCCTCACAAGTGGGGGTGATGTCATCGGGGACGACCAATCACGTCCAAGTCCGCCGCTCCTCGAGGAGTGGAGCCTTGCGTGGTTAGGAAGGCCAGGCTTTCAGCGCCGGTCCCCGCGAATTTTTATTTTGAAATGTCGACGTTTCTGAAGATGCAGGTGTTTGTGTGCGTGTGCGAGTGACTAGTGAGTCATCTGGTGCCATGAAACCAGCAAACAGGCGAGGGAAGTCGACAGAACGCAGAAAATACACTCAAACCTGTTAATTAGGATGTAAGAGCAGTGTACATGGAGATGAACACACATTCCTGTGCATTAAAGTCATTGTTCCTCATCACAGTGTTTCCACTGGGGATAGGGCTGGTCGAAATAGCTGGCAAGCATCTGATGGTGCTGAAATATGCCTTCATTGTTTCCCCTCAGACTGAATACAGCCAAGATGGTGATGTCAGTGGTTCATACCGCAGAATGGCAGAGCGGGGCATTGATACTGGCTGAGTCTGGGTATTGGGAGAGACACTGAGCGCCGTCAATCTTTACAGTTCGATTGGAGCAGTTACCTTTTATTGGGGCAATATTTCAATGGAATGGGTGGAGCACTGAGACTGGCTGGGCCTGAGGGATGGGCGGGGCACTGAGACTGGCTGGGCCTGGGGGATGGGCGGGGCACTGAGACTGGCTGAGCCTGTGCAATGGGCGGGGCACTGAAACTGGCTGGGCCTGAGGGATGGGTGGGGCACTGAGACTGGCTGGGCCTGGGGGACGGGAGGAGGACTGAGACTGGCTGAGCCTGTGCAATGGGCGGGGCACTGAGAGTAGCCGAATCTGGAGGATGTGTGGAGCACTGAGACTGGCTGAACCAGGGTGATGATTTTGATACTAAGGTTTACATTTAACATTACAGAACACAGATGCATCTGCCGTATAAATATCACTCTCTGCACCACACCACATACACAACTAGATTAACACCATCCTGGTGTGATATGCACATATACAGATATTATTTAATTCCCCAGCAGATAAACAGTCTAAAAGTCGTACAATGTACCAAATTTACCCACCGCACTGGCAGGCCCGGTCTCACAGATCACGTGTATGTGTGAGGAGCGAGGGGGGTGGGCGGGGGGGTAGACAGGCAGGCTGTTTAGTAGAACCTGCTTTGTGTGAAGAAGGCGGGAGGGGGGGGGGGGGGGTGACTTAAAGAGCTTCATCGTGACTGTCAAGATATTTAAGGCTCAAGCTAAAATTCAGCAGACAGCTCTGCTCCTCAAAAAATAAAGTAAATAAAATGATAAAAATTCAGGGAATCTGCTGAGGAACAGAAAGTGAACAGATACCACAGGAAAGGTCACATTACATCTATGGAGTTGGGGGTCAGAAGGAAATCAGATTGTCATACTTCATATAGCAGATAAAGCTTTCTGACATGGTGAGGGGCAGTGAGGTGTCAGCCATGTTTGCCCCGCCCTGAGGGGTGTGTGTGTGTGTGTGTGTGTCTATGGGGGTAGGCGCTGTGTTATGATCCCTAATGTATGAGCATCATACCACATAAGCCCGTTTCCCTGACTATCAAAGGCTGATCACCGCACCGAGGGGATTGTACACTTAAATGTCATGTTTGTTTTGCGTTTGCTTATTTGTTTGCTTGCTTTGTTTGGCTTTGTTTTGTATTCTTTTAGTATTAGGTGAGCTTAATGAGATTAGTCGTTGACAAAGAGCTGGAGCACAAGGAGCTCTTGACGGGAACCTCGTCGCTCCTCAGATCTTCAGCTCCCGGCAATTCGGTGTCATGGGGAAACATAGATCTGCTCTCCCTCTGATGACATCACAGATTGGGGGGGCGGGGGGGGGGGGGGGGGGGGGGGGGGGGGGCGTGGCATTCACTGCATATTCGTTGCAAACAACCCAAACGTCTCTCAGCGCTAGAAACTGAGTTCACCCCACAAAAGCCATCTCTCCCTTCCCTGACGAGCAGCACTGCGCCAGCAAACATAGCCACGGTTCCTGCTCTTTATCCATCTACTTCACTGATCTGGAGTCAGTGAGAAAAGGGGGCTTGGAATCCCACAAGGCTACCAGCTGATTTCAATCATTCCCCAGCACTGCTCAGACACAGTCAGACCTCCTCCTGCGCCTCATGCTCCTTAGATAAGCTCCACACCTTCAGTGTTTCACCCCAGTTCATGCTCTCAGGTTTCTGCTCTTAGGAAGCTCCATGAAGGACCACAGCTAGCATGCATTTGCATTCATTTATATAGCAAACACTTTGTCCAAAAACAAGGCAGATAATATATCACAAGAATCCAAGCATCAAGGAGCCACTGAAGGAGCCACTGAAGGAGCCACTGAAGGAGCCAGCTTCCAATGAATGATCCGCACCCGAGCGTTAGCTAAACAGCCTTTTACAAATGCTGCATTGTACAAGACTCTCAAAACGAACGTGCAAAGCCAAGCACCAGGACACCATCGCTAAGGTCCACCAAGCCCTGCCTGGCGCCATTTTGAAGGACCATATGTTGTTCTATATGAGGAAGAAAAGTCCATCATTGTTAAAATCACAGGTCCTCTGAAAACCTGAGGTTTATTAAGGAATCTACCACATGAAGTTGATATCCAGCCCCTCCCTCCATCAACAAGTCCTTCACCAAAGTCCTGACCTGTTTACTGATTCTTGACACTTCTGGAAGTCAAGAGAAGATGACATTTTAGCTGAAAACCCCTTTTTTTGCTAGTGACATTTGACCCACTAAATTAATACGCACACTGTTGCTTCAGGCTCATTTGAATGCAAATTCAACCAACAGCTTTTTTTTTTGGTTAAAAAAGGAGACAGGAGAGATGGGAGAACATGCCGCCCTGTCGGTTCAGCTGTCACACTTGGGTTGATCGGTGGCCTCCGTATCACAAAATAGGCCAGACGAGAGGGACAATGGCCACGGACGGCACCTTTAATGAGTGATGAAGCCCAAGAGGTAGTGGGCCTGACAACAGCCCATTCCACAGTTTTACATTTTTGACAGCTCTCCTCATATTCTTAACTGTTAATGAGAGCGAAAGTGGACAGAAGCAGTGATGGTTCGTAATGCTCAAGGGGGCTGAAGGGGGTCTGACCGGGGCAGCACACCCAGGAGAAGGGCAGTAAACATAGACCCACACCTGCACAATTACAATAAAATTCCTGATCCCTTCGCTTCCCTTAGCTGGTAGCTGACGACACTTGAATGAGCCTTGCAAAGTACGATGATGGCGTTTAATAGGGGCACTCGCAGGACTCGCTATGGTCGCCTCATTAAAGGAGCGCCATTGCTAAGCAATCCCATGGACGCTTCTCTGCGAAGCCTTCAGAACACCTCACGTGGTCCACCAAGACTCTTATGATGCGGATCATGGAGTATAATGTTATAAATAATAATGATAATTAAACAGAGTGTATTTATAAGAACCATGTTACTATAACCTACAGAGCAGCTCTTCAGGGGTTCACGTGACGTACACGCACCTCTCTCTCTCTCTCAGGGCAGGAGCACCAGCTCCACGTTCGCCTGGAAGCACAGAATCACACCTTGGGCTTTTCTCTTGGTCCCCATCCCAGGACCTTCAGCCCCAAAGAATGAGGGGAGTGGCATGCTGCAGAAGTGTCATCGCTGATGACGGATCTCGCACGCGGAGCTCAGCTCAGTCCCTACACAGACTCACAGAGCCGCTCC